AAGCTGTTGACGTCATCTTTCGGCATTGTAGTATAGGCTAGATAGGATCTGCCACATGTAGTCTGGGCGCCGAGCGCCAGATAGGATATCAACTCAGGTTCTTCATTGATGATGATGGGACTATTTCAGCATTGTCAATTATGAACTCTTGGTGTGTTCTTATTTGGTGAATCTCGTGATGCAATTTTGTTGTTGGTTCGAGGTCACGACTATCTGGACTCATATGTATGATGCTGTTTGATTGCTGAAGTTCGCTATTGCTCATCTTCCTTGCAATTTGGTATCGGAGCTGTGGTACGATTGCGCTCATTTGGCGCTTGTCTTCTGCCTAATGTGGTACATACATGCGGTCTGCTTGGTGAGTTGGATCGTAAGTGGTGTGTAGTGAGGAGGGCGGAGACAAGTGAGTGGCGACCCAGGAGGTGAGGGGATCGCCAGGAAGGCTACGAGGTGTAATGTGGTCTGGACAGTGTTGATGAGAACTATCTAATGTGTGATTGGTGCTGAGGTGGAACGGCGTGCAATGCTGGTTGTGCCGAAGCAATGACTGGTCATGACAATCGGCATCAGGTCATCTGGTGAGATGATCTCTGTGGTTGGGGGCAGCTATTAGAGGTACGTTGCTCTTAACCTTATCTACCCTCTTCGACACTTCTTACCGTGAGGTTGTGTGTTCCTTCTTGAGAGTCCTCTCATTGTGAGGTGTCGAGTGCGCTCAACCTTGAGAGTCGGCAATGTTCACGTGGAGCATCTGGGAGAAGATGGGCGGATCTTTCTAAAGGGCCCTGGGCTAAGCATTGGGTCGCGGTCACCATGCCAACCCACCGGGAGTAGAGCACGCATGCTTTGTTGCTTGTCCTTTGTTTGGCTTGCTGCGCTGTTAGATGGGTACTGAAGGGCAGGCCAGCCCTAAGGGAGACGAGACCGGGCGTCTTTAAGTAAGCACCGAAAGGGGAATCATTGGCTGTGATCGTCGTCCAGCTGCCACGTAAAATAATTCCTGGAGTCACTTGGGGGCGGACGTTGAATTGCCTTTGGATCAGCCCATCGTTGTAAGGCTCGCTGCACGCGAGGATAATCCAGTGCAGGGCTGGCCAGCTCAGCAGATACTCGGGGCATAGGGGTGGGCCGAACACACACCTTTAGACATGCGACGCTCTCCAGATTGCTCAGGGACGCTGACGTCAAGTGATACTCAGGGGAACTAAGGGAGGGGTAGATTTCAGGTGACCAGTTCGAGAAAAAAATTCCATACTGTCCTATCCACACAAATGATTCTATTTTTATGTTTTGATTAGTTAGATGTACAACCATATGACATCTGAAAGACAACATAATTAGAACAGTTCCTGTTCATTCTGCATTCTGTTCGCGGACTAATCATACTAAAAATAGTTTCGTTTGTAGGAATCTGACTTACCTGTTGGGCCTGAATGTATAGTCTTGGACACAGCCACCAATTAATTATTTTGGTCTGTGCATTACACTGCGGTAGGCATCTAGAGTGCACGAGTGCAGATTGTGTGTAGTGCTGTAGCTTATGAGTGACAGGGAGGACACTGGAGAGGACGACCGACTCTTGCGTTCACGAAGACGACCGATCGCCCACTTGGCTTTAGGACCAGAGGGCGACCGACATCTGTTCTGCCAGCTTAGAGAGAGGCAGCAGCAATAGAGGAGGGCTAGAGCAGCTGAGGCTAGCAGGGCGCTGATAAGCGAAACCGCAGCTTCGGAAGCAATGGCTACCTCTGCGCAGCAGACTTCTCAGGCAGGTAGTTTAGGAATTGTAGGGTCAACAAGCTCTACAGAGTCTTCTGGCTTTGTAGGGTCAACATGCTCTATAGGGTCAACAATTGCGCAGGCTTTGAGTCAGTCCGCTGGCGTTATGGCGAGCCAGCCATTAGTGATGACTCCCGAGGAGGTCGCCATACAACGAGCAGCTGATCGCGAGGCACAGCGACAACAGGCTTTGAGAGAGATTAAGGCAGAGAAAGAGATGATGATTAGAAGAAGAGCAAGGATGCAGCGGAGACAAGCGAACATTAGTGAGTTAGAGGAGATGGACCCTGAGGAGATGGATGATGATGTGAGGACCATACGGTCGGTCTTGTTAAGTGTAGTTTATATGCAAGATCACCAAATGGAGGTCTTACAGGACATCCAACAGAGTCTGGCTGTATTAGTCGGACGAATGCAGGCGACACCATCACCGTCCGGGCCAGGTGCCTGGCCCGTTGCACATCCTCCTCCTTTTGTCCCACCAGTGACTGGGGTATCCCCATATGTAGCCCTATCATCGGTTGCTATCGTTTCTTTGGGCATGCCGTTATCAGGAGGAATCTCTACAGGTCCTAGTTTGCAGGTTCCTGTTCAACGAGTGTACTCCCAATCTCCGTTGCAGATTGCAGTTACAACGCAACCTGCTGTCTCGCAGTCTGTACAGCCTCAAGGCACACAGCCCCAACAGCTAGCACAGCAACCTGTGTCACAGGGTCCACAACCCGGAGTGATGCAGGGACCGGGACAAACACAGTGGGCGCCAAAGACGGCCATCGCCGCTCATAAACCCTCCACAGGGGGTGGCTGAGGGCAGTGCCAGTCTATGTTAGGTGTAAACTTACCTTGCCGCATGAAGAAGTGCTTGTGGCTGCCTCCTACCTAGAGGGTAGTGCAGCAAGATGGTTGAGTGGTTTAGTACAACTCCAGGGGCATGGTCATGACTTCCGCGCTTGGGCAGTCACCCAGAAATTGGATGACTTCCTTAAGCTGGTGGAGGAAAGGTGGCATGATCTTCAGGAGGCCCAAAGGGCCACTGACGCGATCCTGACACTACACACGCGGCAGTTCAAGTGAGTAAGGGAAGCCACCGACGCTGTTGAGCGTCTGATTTGTGTCCTAGGGGTGCGCTATGACCCCCAGGTTCTACTCACCTCCTACCTGAGATGCTTCTCTTTGCCTCTCAGGAACCAATTGGAAGGTGAGGCCAACATCAATATGCACAACTTTCCTTCGTTTAGCAAGAAGGCCCTAGACCTTGAGGCGAAGATAGGGCATGGACACGCACCCACTACGAATGGTAGGAAGAAAGCACTGCCTCCCAACTGGAAGGTGAAGGGACGCATTATGTTTGTCGATAACGATGGTTCAACCATCGAATTAGACGACAACTTCCAGGAGGGAGTAGGTGCAGAGGCGGGCAGCGTTGAAGCTTCAGGGGGTGGAGTTATCGCTGCCGTAGCTCAAAAAGGTAAGGCGACCGGTAGACGCCGTGGAGGCTCCCGGTCAAGGAGTCAAGTCGACCCCAACGCTCCCCCATGGGAGAAGGCGGGTCTCTCAGAGGACGTGTGGAGAGATCGGTACCCACGGCAGGCTTGCATTCGTTGTGGCCAATACGGCCATAACCAGTTCAAGTGCCGAAACAAGAAGGTGACCGAGAAGATCCCACCTACGATGGGGCAGGCGTTGGGGTCCTCCCATCCCGTTGGTGGCGACGTAGCTAGTACTTCTGGCAGTGCTTCGGGAAACACGTCGGGCCAGTAGGAATAGTAGTTGTTCCTGCTAGGGTCGAGGTGGTGGAGACACCCTCACCATCTCGAGAGATGGCCCAAGCTACTGACTCCAGTGTCGTCCCGCAAACACGTTCAGACCCATCGAGCCTCTGTTCGATGAATGTGTTTGAGTCCTTAAAGTAGCTAGAGGAGGAGTGGTCTAGATCAGACCCGCTAGCTACTTGGACGGCCCTAGTCAAAGCCCAGAAGGGTGAGATGTTCGTCAGCGAGGTGGTCATTGGCGGCCACAAGGTCGGGGCCTATTATGACACTTGCTCGACTAGGAACTTTATTAGCCACGCATGCATTGAGAGGCTGGGTTTACAGGGGCGAGTGCAGCGCCTGAGTGGACCTGTGGAGTCGACCTGTGCCAACAAACAGCGCATGGTAGTCAACGACTGCCTTTAGGATGTTGAGTGTTATTTCTCGTACGCGGGAGGGGAATTGAGACATCGCGTCTCATTCCTAGTGAGCGATGAACTCCCCATGGACATGTTGTTAGGTATGTACTACCTCTCTGTGGCTCAGCCCCAGTTTGACTGGGACCGAAAAGTGGTCAAACACACCTTGCCAGGTGGAGGGACCGCCAAATTGCACAAGTTCAAAGCTAGTAGTCTGATCGAGTCCCATGGATGCATGTGTGCGGCCACGTTTTATAACTATTATAAGCAAAATCAGGAGGAGGGTATGTACTTAGTTTATGTCTCTGCGGCAGGCGAGCCGGTGAAAATGCAACCGGAGATAGAGGGAGTAGTTGCCAAGTACCCTGATCTATTTGAAGAGCCGACAGGGGTTGTAGAGAGGGAGGTCGTCCACGCGATAGAGATTATCCCAGGGTCTAGCATTCCGAAGGGCAGGATCTATCGGATGTCTCCAAGCGAGCTCGATGAGCTTCGCCGACAGCTCAAGGAACTCGTAGAGAAGGGTTGGATCCGGCCGAGTGTCTCTCCTTATGGGTCTCCGGTATTATTTGTACCTAAGAAGAAGGAGGGAACTTTGAGGATGTGCATTGACTAAAGGGGCCTCAATGCCATCACTGTTAAGAATAGAGAGCCCCTACCGCGCATCGACGATTTGTTAGATAGAGTGCAAGGGTGTCGATACTTCAGTAAGATAGATCTGAAGCCTGGGTACCATCAGATTGCAATCTGGCCCGAGGATCAACATTAAACCGCCTTTCAGACCAGGTACGGTCTGTACGAGTTTGTGGTGATGCCTTTTGGTCTTTGCAATGCTCCTGGCACCTTTCAGCACGCTATGAATCGGATATTCCATGACTACTTGGATAAGTTTGTCATCGTGTACCTCGATGATAGTAAGATTGTCTAGGAGCAGGTTGCACACTTGGACAAAATCCTTAGTCTCTTGCGACAACACAAGTTCAAGATCAACGGTGAGAAGTGCGAGTTTGGCCCCACCCGTGTCTTGTACTTGGGTCATGAGATTTCCGCGGAAGGGTTGAAGCCCGATGACTCGAAGGTGGTCAGCATTCGTGACTGGCCGCGTCCTCAGTTTGTGACTGAGATGAGATCTTTCTTAGGGATGACCGGCTACTATCGCAACTTCGTGGAGAACTATAGCATAGTTGCCGCCCCTTTGACTGATCTGACCCACCTTGACACCCCATGGGAGTGGACTGAGAGATGCGAGGCTGCTTTCAGACATTTGAAGCATGCGTTGACGCATTACGAAGTCTTGAAACTTCCTGATCCTGACAAGCCATTTATAGTGACTACGGATGCTAGCCAATATGGCATAGGCATCGTACTTGCACAACAGGAGGGGAAAAAGTTGAGGCCAGTAGAGTACATGTCAAAAAAGATGCCCTCTCAGAAGTTGGCTAAGTCCACCTATGAGAAGGAACTCTATGCGGTTTACAAGGCTCTGACCCATTGGAGACACTATCTCCTTGGGGGGTTCTTCATCCTCAGGACTGATCATCAGACACTGAGATGGATGAGAACTCAGCCGGTACTCTCTGACGCTCTGAAGCGTTGGATCGAAGTCATAGAGCAGTATGACTTTGAGCCTCAGTACATAAAGGGCGAGTACAACAAGGTTGCTGATGCCTTGTCGCGCAGACCTGACTTCTCAGGTGCACTAATTATTGAGTTTGATCTTGCGGACATTGTTACTCAGTCGTTGGTGGAATCCTATCGTGAGGATCCATTTATGTCTGAAATCATTCGCAGACTCGAGGCAAAGGACAAAGCAACTTCTGTCGAGTTTGAGTTGGTCAAGGGCTTGTTGTTCCTTGAGAAGGATGGGAATAAACGATTGTGTGTTCCTAATAGAGAATCTTTGCGTAGTTTGTTCTTAGGTGAGTGCCATGATGCCACCGGCCATTTTGGGTATAAGAAGACCGCAGCCAACCTGTTGCAGCGGTTCTGGTGGCCCACGATGATGCGAGATGCACAGCTGTACGCGGAGACTTGTCAGGTCTGTCAAAGAGACAAGCCACGTACTCAGGCTCCTCTTGGGCTACTGAAGCCGCTTCCGATTCCGGAGCGGCCTGGTGAGAGTCTGTCCATGGATTTCATGGATACCCTGGTCACCAGCAAGAGCGGGATGCGACACATCTTCGTCATCGTGGATATGCTAGGTTAGTAGCAATGCCGAAAACAGCAAGAACGGAGTATGTGATCAGAATGTTCAAAGAGAACTGGGTTAGGGACTTTGGTTTATCGAAGTCTATTATTAGTGACAGGGATGTCCAATTTACCAGCGAATTGTGGAAGGCCGCTGCTGCGGAGCAGGGAACTCAGTTGCAGATGACTTCTGGGAATCACCCAGAGGCCAACGGCCAGGCCGAGCAACTGAACCGCGCTGTACAACATCTGTTGAGGCATTACATCAAGCCCAACCAGGTGGACTGGGATGAGAAGCTTGCTCTCATCGCCAGCCACCGGGGTGAGCCCAAACAGTTTGCTATTGACTTTCAAGCCTAGACTACCCTTAGATTTTCTCCTTCCTTAGAATCAGTCAACTGCTGCACCAGGTACTTTAGAATTTGCTTACCGTTACGAACAGAAGATGTCAGGTCTGTCAAAGAGACAAGCCACGTACTCAGGCTCCTCTTGGGCTACTGAAGCCCCTTCCGATTCCAGAACGGCCTGGTGAGAGTCTGTCCATGGACTTCATGGATACTCTGGTCACCAGCAAGAGCGGGATGCGACACATCTTCGTCATCGTGGATAGATTTAGTAAGTATGCTAGGTTAGTAGCAATGCCGGAAACAGCAAGAACGGAGTATGTGATTAGAATGTTCAAAGAGAACTGGGTTAGGGACTTTGGTTTACCGAAGTCTATTATTAGTGACAGGGATGTCCGATTTACCAGCGAATTGTGGAAGGCCGCTGCTGCAGAGCAGGGAACCCAGTTGCAGACGACTTATGGGAATCACCCAGAGGCCAACGGCCAGGCCGAGCAACTGAACCGCGCTGTACATCTGTTGAGGCATTACATCAAGCCCAACCAGGTGGACTGGGATGAGAAGCTTGCTCTCATCGCCAGCCTGTACAACAATGCGGTACACAGCGCCACCGGGGTGAGCCCGGACAGTTTGTTATTGACTTTCAAGCCTAGACTACCCTTGGATTTTCTCCTTCCTGAGAATCAGTCAACTGCTGCACCAGGTACTTTGGAATTTGCTTACCGTTACGAACAGAGGATGGGGAGAAGGGGATTAGAGCTGAAGAAACGTTTTATTGTCCCCACCACCTTCTATATCTCACTCCTCGATGTCTGGCAGCAGATGGGAGTAGGATAGTATATGTCCCCTCTGTTGGTTGGAGTCATCGGGCCCTCGATTTCAGTCAACAAGGGGTGTTGACTGTTCCGCAGGTGGGAAGTAGGTTGTTTAGGTTTTCTGTGTGTCTGATCTGTTTTTTGGAGTGTTTTGATGATTGCTTGTTGTGGTGGTTGATGAGAATGCATTTCGTTACGGTTAGGCTTCGATGGCAGGAAGTCAATCCTTCCCTGTCACTGGGAAGTAATCAATGCCCCTGCAATTTAAAGTAATATGGCAGATATGGTGGAATATGGATTTGGCTTTGCATGACCAAATGAACACAAATCACATAGTAATGGATGCACACTTATGACATCTCCTCACATCATTGAATAAGCGTATTTCGTCGATATCGGACACCGAGCGAAGGCAGGCAGGACGCTGGACCCGATTTCCAGTTGACACTCATCATATCATTGTGTAGGGACGCTAAAAAAAAAGAAGATGCAGCAAGCTGTAGAACAGATGCAAAAGGCACAGGCGGCTATGATAGAATCTGCGAATAAACAACGCCGTGAGTCTTCATTTCAGGTTGGGGACAGAGTCTGGGTTAAGTCCTCAGAACTGGGACAGGAGCACGGGATCTCCCGCAAGCTCATGCCACAGTACTTTGGACCATGGGAAGTCTTAGATATTGTTGGGACTGATCCGGATGGACCTTCTTATGTAGTGTGGATCCCTGGTCATCTCCGTTCTTACCCTGTCTTTCACGCCTCCAAGCTTGCACCGTTCAAAGAAACAGATCAGTTTCCATCTCGCCGCTCAATGCTGCCCCCAACCATGGACGGAGAGGTGGATATCGATGATATCGTGGACCACAGGGAGCTGCCAGTGGCAAGACCAACAGGCAGGGGACGTCCTCCGAAACGGAAGCTGCCGTACCACGTTCAGTTCCGGCATCACACTGATCCGAAGGACCGCTGGTTCACCAGGGACGAACTCATGCAGACCGCTCCTCAAGTTGTAGCCCATTACGAGAGATCTCTGCAGAAGGGAAAGCGCCCCAATGATTGAAGACTGAGCTTCTCAGAGGACTGTTGAAGCTAAGGAGGAGGGAATGCGCGGCCAATGCCTCTATGAGCCCCCTTATGGCCCCATTTTGAAGTAAGTCGGCCGCCCTAAGTGAAGGCAGGCTCGACGAGGCCCTCAGGGCCCTAT